CGATTCATAGCAGTAGCAAAATTACAGTTATGAAGTAGCAACGAAAATAATTTTATGGTTGGGGGTCACCACACATGAGGAACTGTATTAAAGGGTCGCGGCATTAGGAAGGTTGAGAACCACTGTATTAAAGGGAGACAAAAATAAATGCAAAGCTTGTTAGGAGCTGCTGATGCTGAGAAGGATGTCCTGCTGGCCCTCCGACAGCACGCTTTCTCTTTGCTGAGGGGCCTGGGACTTCGCACAAACAGGCAGCAGGGAGGCCAGCCTCATGAGGAGGAGCTGGGCATCCTGTGGTTTCCCAGCTCCCACTCCAACCTGGATCTCACATCTGTGCCTTTCGTTGTAGGAAGGAGGGCGATTCTGAGTTCATGAATATCATTGCCAATGAGATTGGGTCAGAGGTAAGAGATGCACCCTGGGTAGAGACCTAAATGAGGGGCGTTAAGTTAGCTGAAGTCCTTCCACATGAGCACATGAAGAGTAGGGGACAGAAATTCATTCAGTACAGTTTTTTTCTTTTTTTGTGTTAATTCTCACCCATGGCTGTTTTTTCCATTGATTTTTATTTTTTTATTTTTAGATCGAGTGGAAGGGAGATAGGTAGGGGGAGAGGGAGAGAAACATGATGTGAAAGAGACACATGAATCGGTTGCCTCCACACCCCTGACTGGGGCTGGGGTTCAAACCTGCAACCCAAATACGTGCCCTTAACTGGGAATCGAACTGGTGACCTCTTGGTGCATGGGGCGACGCTCAATCCACTGAACCACTCCGGCCGGGCAGCTTTCTATCTTCTTAAGGTTGAACCTAAGTTCCTGTGGTCACTGGTGAAAAGTTTCTTGGTTCTGGTGGCTAGAGTGGAGGGGCTGCATTATCATTCATTCGAACATCACTTGTGTTTTAGAGAAAACGTCTTTTTTTTAGTTGAGATAGGATGTGTCAGTTTAAGGCGTACAGCATGTTGATTTGATGCACTTATAGTTGCAGTATGATTTCTAAATCTGTTCTTGAGACTGAGGAGAGTGCACAGTATAGAGGGGTTGACCCCACATCCTTAAGTATCAGGATTCATCTCCTTGTCTTACCTCCTAGGACACCCTCCTGTTCTTAACTGTGGGCGATGAGAAAGGCGCTGGGCTCTTCTTACTGGCAGGGCCAGCTGAGGCCGTAGAGACCCTGGGACCCAGGTAACCTTTCGTAGACGGCTTTGCATGGGTGGGAGAGCCTATAAGCCTAACGCAGTAGCCCTTTACTGAGGACAGAGGCCGCCACGTCTGCAATCTCATTTTGATTCACATCACAGACCTGTGATGTGGGCTGAAATCATTATCTCCAACTATCATTCCCAGTTTCATAGGTGAGGGACGGCACACCCGGTGCCTGGGATCTCCCAAAGCAGGGGCAGAACTGAGACGTGAACCCGGGTCTTTTGGCTCTAAATCCATGTGTTTTGTTTTTTCTTTTAGAAATTGAGATTCTTAGGTGATACATGAGTACAGGTGCTGGGATATCAGTAGGCAGATGAAGCAGGTGCTTAAGGCACCAGCAGAGGAGAGGCACGTACTCTTTAGGGGGAAAATTAGGATTTTGAAATAAAATTTAAAAAGGCATTGATATAATGGTTAGGAAAAAGTTAGAACTTTGTTGGACTTCTTTCCCCTTGTGTTATTGTTTATATTTTGTTTTAAATTAGATGTGGTGGTGTAGTGCCCCTGTTCTTTCTTAACGGAATCTTCAAGGTCCCGAGTGCCTCCAATGAATGTGTGGTTGTCGTAGGAAAACAGCTTTTAAAGCAGAGGTTCCTGACAGGCAGCCAGGGTTGGCCTAGAGATTGGTTTGGCCTGTGTACTACTTTAAATTAAAAAAAAAAATACTTGCTACATTTTAAAGTCAGGAGATTTTTACATAAAAAGACATAGTTCTGGCTTTTCTCCAAAAAGGAAAACAACTGGCACTCCCTGGCCACACTGGGCTCACATTCCACATGGTGGTGGCTACCTGAGCAGTGGCGCCCTCTGCAGACAGGACAGGCTTGTCCAGGTTGCCACAGTCCCGCCGTTCTCGCCCACCCGTTTGACTCCCTGCTGGTCCCCACAGGCGTTGTGTCTATAGCCACTTGCCCCTAGTGTACCTTCACTCTACTCCCTGGAGGTTGCCATAATCTATCTAGGCCATTTCTAAAATATATTTCTTTATTGATTTCAGAGAGGAAGGAAGAAGGAGAGAGAGAGAGAGAGAGAGAAACATCAATGATAAGAGAGAATCGATTGGCTGCCTCCTGCACGCCCCCTACTGGGGATCGAGCCCGCAACCCGGGCATGTGCCCTTGGCTGGAATTGAACCCGGGACCCTTCAGTCCGCAGGCCGACGCTCTATCCAATGAGCCAAACCGGCTAGGGCAATCTAGGCCATTTCTAGACACTTCTGTTGTTTCCAGTTATTCACTCTTACAGTAAACATGGTACATATTGCATGTGCAAGTATTTTTTTTTTATATGTTTTTTATTGATTTTCTACAGAGAGGAAGGGAGAGGGATAGAGAGTTAGAAACATCGATCAGCTGCCTCCTGCACGCCCCCCACTGGGGATGTGCCCGCAACCAAGGCACATGCCCTTGACCGGAATCGAACCTGGGACCCTTGAGTCCGCAGGCCGATGCTCTATCCACTGGAGCCAAACCGGGTCTGGCTGCAAGTATTTTTTAAGAAGGATTTCTAGAAGCCATCTGACTCCTCCTCTCCCTTTGCCCCAGGCCCCCGGGGAAAGACTCAGGGCTGCTCTTGGTTTCTCTGTGGGTTTTCGCGCTGGAGGAGCCTCCTTCCCCTGACATATCTCTGCTTTCCCAGGGTGGCTGAGGTGCTGGAGGGCAAAGGCGCAGGGAAGAAGGGCCGCTTTCAGGGCAAGGCCACCAAGATGAGCCGGCGGCGGAGGCGCAGGTGCTTCTCCAGGACTACGTCCGCACGCAGGAGTGCTGAAGGAGTGAGACTCGCACCTCCCCGCTGCTCCTGCCATTGAGACGCCTCCTGGCTCCACAGACAATAAAATAGTTCGATTTGCGATTATTGTGGTACCATGTTTTACTAATTTATATAGTGTACGCCCGGGTGCTTATGCGGTAACATCTGTGAATAAACAGGTCACTCATTTGGTCCCTTAGACATAGCCTATGCGAATGAGTCTTACGTGGTAAGGTGCACTAATTTACTGAAACTCAGGTGCAGCCTTTCTTCACGGAGAAATATAGCTGCCAAAGGAGCGTGCAAGTCAGGTGAATGAGTCTAAGCCTGAGGTCACAATTTAAGAAAAAAATTCTGGTTCTCACTTGCCTGGGGAAGTTACCTTCCCTTTTCAACCTTCAGTTGCCTCGCTGATAACATGGCAGTAAGGGCAGTACCTAGTTCTCCCGGGTGTCGTGAGGTAACATTCAACTGTAAGTGCTCAGGAAAACACTCGATTCCCCATTGATCTGAGAACACAGAATTGTTGAGTACCTGATGTTCTGCGCCTCTGTACCTGCTCGTTGGGAGTTGTTGATAAATGCAGGGGCCGCTGCCCTACTGTCGCCCCAGGTGAGCTGTGCCCCGGGTAGTGCTGCGGACATGGGTGCGGCCATCCCAGGTGCTTTCCTGACTTACTCAGGAGCTATGATTGAGCCCAGGGGAGGCTTCTTTTGAGCCCAGCAGCTCCCAGCAAATCGCTTTAATTTAGATGTTCCTCTTGTTCGCACAAGGACTTTATTCAGGTAAAATTCCCACAGGAGGAAATTCTGCAGCTGTTCCTGCTGGAGGAACGGGCAGGCAGGGAACATGGCTTCATAGAATTTTGCTGGGAGGAATGGAGTGGTCACCCAGGGCAGTGGCTTCTAAACTTTTTAAATAATGAAACTTCCATGAAGTTTTACAAGTAGAAGCACAATATGGAAATGGATGAAAGCTGCTCTATTCTGGTTGGAACAGGGAGTGGAGGCTTGGAGCTCGACAAGCCCTTAGGAAGGCCCCGGAGTGCCCCCCCTGGAGCCATAGATACCATTTGCCAAGTTTACAACCTTGGCATATCTGGACGATGCTCTAACCAGCTAAGCTACCTAGCCGGGGCAGTGTTCCACTGCATTTAAATTGCAGACAAATCCCCTCCAAACAGCCCCTGAGTTTTTTTCCTCAGAGGGCATGTCAGTTAACGACATTTGGAGTTGGTCCTTCAAATCAAACTTAGTTGAATCTTGGGTCTCCTGATGAAGTTACGTGATTATGTGATTACATGTATATGTGATATACCTGTAGAAAGTTCCAGCTATGAATAAGAATGTAGTCTGCAAAACTAGGAAATCCAACTGGCAATCCTTTCCGTCTTAGACATATAAAGGAAGAGACATTCATTCGCAAGTTACCTTCTATTTAAACATAATGGCAATTTTAGAAGCTGTCTAGTACTGATTCCCAATTTTCCAACTAGGTGTCAGATCTTTCTAGGGCTATCCATCCTAAGTAAGGTCACAGAATCAAAACAGAATTCTGGGCCTGGAAGGAACCTTAGAGATCGACAACCTGATCTGGCAAGTGAGGAAATAAATTCTTTTTTTTCTTTATTGCAGTAAAATGAACAACATAAAATTTACAATTTTCACCATTAAAGGAGATAAACTTAAGTGACTTGCCCAAAGGTGTCTCTTCCCACTGCAGAGCTCTGCCTCAAAACTCAGGGTTTCATAACCCAGGTGACCTTGCATCTGTCTTACAAGTAATGCACCAACTCCAGTTACATGTGAGTAATTGAAACAGCTGAGTCCAGCCCTAGTGGGTTTGGCTCAGTGGATAAAGCATCAGCCTGTGGACTGAAGGGTCCTGGGTTCAATTCCAGTCAAGGGCACATACCTTGCTTGCAGGCTCGATCCCCAGCCCTGGTCGGGGCGCGTGCAGGAGGCAACAATCCATGTGTCTCTCTCACATCGATGTTTCTCTCTATTTCTCCCCCTCCCGTCCACTCTCTCTGAAAAATCAATGGAAAAATACCCTCAGATGAGGATTAACAAAAAACAAACAGCTGAGTCCATGATGAGCCCAAATCTGACAATGCCATGTACAACGATAAACATCTAGCCCCTCATTCAGGGATACAGCTCTCAGTTGGTGTTGGCAAAAGTCTTTCACCTTTATAATTAATATCTTAAACTGAAATCAACCTAACACTCAGATCCAGCTATAACTTTAGACAAATATGGTCAAGGCGTAGACGGTTAGGATGAAATAACAGAAGAGAAATAAGGAGAAAACTGACACCCAGGTTGATAAGCCGTGGTTGTGGGCAGCTGTTTCCATATTCTTCTTCCAACCCCGAGAGGAGCATTAGATGAGCTCCTGGCTATAAACATGGTTTAATGAGAGAGAACTGAAGTTGCATGGACTGGGCCTCTGGGTGGATACAGCTCTGGCAGGCAATCACTTTTCCTCATGTGTCAAGAGCCACGAAGGAAAGAATGACAGGGTCCAATTAGTCATCTCCCAAGTGAGAGAAGTTGAAACAACTTGTCTGGTAAGATTGAAAGCCACAAGGCAGACTACCTATCAGGGACAGGAATTTGGAGTCCGAGGCTTTCGCCTGAAGCCGGGAGGCACATTAGTGGGAGAGCTGGGCTGCAGGGAGGTGGCCAGAAGGAAGGGGAATTGAGTTTCTGAGGCAAAAATTTAGGCATACATAGGGGTACAAAAGACATCAAGAGATGTTTAAAATATTTTAAAATATATATTTGTATTGATTTTAGAGAGGAAGGGAGAAGGAGAGAGAAATAGAAACATCAATGATGGAGAGAATCATTGATAGGCTGCCTCCTGCACGCCCCACACTGGGGATTGGCATGCAACCCCCGGCATGTGCCCTGATCGGGAATCGAACCGTGACCTCCTGGTTCATAGGTCAACGCTCAACCACTGAGCCATGCCAGCTGAGCAATAAACTATTCTTTAAAAAAAATAAAAATAAAAATAAATAAGAACGGGGATGTGAACATAGCATCCTAAGAAAGAAGGAACTTTCTGAAATAACTCAGGAAAATACATAAACACTTGAGCAAATTATGTGAAAACAGTAATTTAGTTGTGTAAAGAAAGGGAAAATAAAGCAGCTGTTTTTTGAACTGGTGATGTCATCGGTGCCTGTGAAAGGGGCCTTAATCCAATTCCCCAAGGAGATGGGGCTGGGGCGGGGGAATGGGGGGCAGGGGAGAGGAACAGTTTGTTTTCAGGGGATGGGTGGACTGTCTTTCATGAGGTTCACCAGAAAACCAAGTAGAATTAGTTTAATTATTTATTAGAGTAACATTAAATTAGCACAAACGGAATAATAGGTATTTTATTAGCACAAAGTGTGATAGAGTTTTATGTACCCATGAAATAATAGATTATATATCCTGGAACATTATTATAACCCACTTTTACAGCTTAGTAATAGTGAGAAGGGACTCCTTGTCTAAGACAGTTTTATGACTTAAGTTCCCATAAATTGCTAAAGACATGGATGCTGTGGCTTGCACCAAGGCGAGGGCCTCCTGGGTAACTAACTGTATGTGCACAGGTTGGTCAGCTGTTGCATGAGAAACAGACAAGGGGCAGTGACAGGAATTCAGGAAGTTATTGTGACTAAATGTCCCATAGCCCCACTTCACCCTTTAGCCCTGAGTGGAAACCAGGGAGCCGGCCAAGCTGTGCTAGAATGCCAGCTCTTTTCCTTAAGAAGAACTTAAATAAACTCCAGGGCCCCACTGGGAAAACAGACAGCTCAACGTACCCTATTGAGAAAGCCTCTTGCAGAAGGCTCTGTGTCTGCCATCCCTTTCCTGAGCTGGATCCAAACTATGACTAAAGTGCCCTTGATGGAGGGCAACCAGGGCTACTTGGGAAAGAGTGATGGAGAAGTTTCCTTCTTTTTCCAGACTAAACTTCTGTGCAGACGGCTGCTGGCAGCATGCCTGGCTCTCCCCTTCAAGGGACCAGCGCAGGTCTCGGTTAGCGAACCCGGGCCTGTGTCCAGAGCAGAAGAGACCCTCACAGGGGCAGTCTTCTCTCTCTTTTGCTGGGCCTTTTCACAATCCCCCTGCAGAAGCACCCTTCAGCTGAGCTTGCTGGTAAATTTCCCCGCTCAGCCTTAAACACAACCTCAAAGCCAAGTGTTTCAGAAATAAGGGTGGGTCACCATTTTCTCCTGTTAAACGGCAGTTCCTCTTTTCATACCATCGTGCTTGTTGTTGTTATTCTTGTGCAGACCATAATCACAGAACTCATTTGTTCATTTATTCAACAGATATTTGTTGAGAGTAGTGTGTGTCCCGGACACTGTTTTAAGAACTGGGCCACAGTGATGAATACTACAGCTGGCCACTGTTCTTACGGTATTTATGGCCATGGAGAAAAAAGACAGGAAAGACAAGCGAATAAAAGCGAAATTACACATCTGTTAATTCAAAGAAGGAAAGGGCGGGGTGAAGAAAAATAGAGAGGGTTGTGACAGTGACAAGGGAGGCTTGGGGAGAATTTAGTCTCCATAAAGCAGTGTGCTTAATAGGCAAACAAAACTAACAGTTTGTTTTAAGACAATTCTGCTGGTTTCCCTTACAACCAGATGGCCATTGCTAAGCCCCTTCTTTGTAGAAATCCTCGAGCTGGGAATTGTCTTCAGCCACAGAAGGTGGCCAGGATCTTGAGGAGGCTGCCGGGTTCATCAGTGTGTTGTACATATTTTGGGTACCTTTATGCGGCGGTTACGAGGAGGCAAAGAGTAAGTCTTGTGCTGCTCTGCACCCAAATGAGCCCCTCTCACCACTGCTAGGCCATCTCTTCTGACCCCCGAGGGCTCTCTCCCTCTCCATCCGCAGAAGGTAAACCCTGCATTACACCTCAGCAGAGAGAGGGTGGAAGACACAACAGTCCGACAAAGACCCCATGCACACAGGGAAGGTATGCTTGATAGAAACCTCTGCCAGTTGCAATTTCAAATAATGAAAAGCAGACTTTAGTGCCACTGCACCATTATGATTGGTTTGGTATTGTTTTCATTATTAGTTGGTATTAAACCAACACTTACCTAGGTCTACCAGGCATTGTTCTAAGCACTTTGATTCTCATTAAAACCCTATTGTCACCCCCAGTTTACAGACGAGTATACCGAGGCACAGCAGCTTGCCTGAGGTCACTCGGCTAGTAAATGGCGCAGCTTTGAGCCAGCAGTCTGGCTCTGGAGTCCTTCAGCCAGACTATGTGGCTTCTTGGTATGTCCATTAACATGCTTTAACAGAGCGCACAGATGATATCTATGACCAATATCTTTTCTTTTATAAACTAGCCTCTCTCATGGTGAAATAAGTGATTTTAGGACAAGGGCATTTAAGGACCTTGAGGCTGTCTGGTGCTTTTGGCAAGGAGAAAAGACCAAATAAGCAAGCTATAAATAGAAGTGAAAACCTTCCATTATAATGCTGCCATGTAGCCTCTAATTTTACCTCTGTTAGGGCAGGTATGGACATTGTAAAGCGGGAACCAAAAAGCCAGGGGTTTAGTCTTTTAGATAAGACCCTAACGCCCTGTATTTAATTCCAAGCCTGTCTCCCCCTTTCTGTTACTCTGGGCTCCATTTCTATGAAAACAGAATTACATGTGTTTCACAAATGGTGGTAGAAAAACGTGTCTTTTTTCCTGTCTTGGAGCCGTGGTGTGGGTGACTGGGGGATTTCCACTCAGCTTGGAAAAGCCTGAAAGACCGCCTTGCTGTTTCTGTTTTGCTTTGTCTTTGCTGCCTGTTACCAGAAAGATGAACTCATCCCGAAGGTTTGCATTGAAAACAAATTTTGAATTTCTTCTGCTCTTGTTAATTTGCCTCCTTTAGCAGTCTCAGTCCCCAACACCCAGGCGCCGTCTTTTGAAAATTTAACAGCAGAGGGTGCTGCGAGCCTGTGGATGCCCAGGTCTCGGCCCCGAAACGGAGCGGCTAGAAGGGCCCCTGCTCATTCAGCCCGCCTGAAGGAGGCTTCTAATTGTCTTGTTCTCTTGCTGCTTTTGAAGACTTTGTCTGTGGGTTGTGGAGTAATCAGATGTTTCCCAAAATGCAAGCAGGCAATCAAGAAATGAGGTGTGGCCTTCTGGAAGTAATCTTGCCATTTGTGTTTTTGAGAATCTTAACCCTTCTCTGATTAACTTGATGCTTCCTATTTTATGCATTTAACTCCACTGAGACCAGAGTTTCTGAATCGTGGTGGGTCCTAACTCACTTCAGAAAACAACATTTATTATTCCCATTTTCCTGGGCTCCTTCTAAATTCCTTTGTACTAATTCTATCCATGGCTACAAGATAACATTTTTTTCCTTCTTTTTAAAAGCTGGGGCTTGAATATTACCTCCAGGTTGTCTCTCAGTCTTTCTCCATCTTCCTTATATTCTGCATCTTTCACTCATTTTTCCCCAGCTTCTTGCTTCCTACAGCCCTTTCACCTCTTGATTGTTGATAGGAAGCAACAATGGTGTTCCATACTTCAGTCATGCTTTGCTCTAAGCAAATTTGCTTTAGAAGAATCTAGGTGCCTCCCAGTGATAAGTCAATGGGCGGTTTATTTATCTATCTACTTAAATATGGAACACTTCACAAATTTGTGTGTCATCCTTGTGCAGGGGTCATGCTAATCTCTGTATCATTCCAATTATAGTATATGTGCTGCCTAAGCGGGCACGGTGATTTCTTTTTATAAAATCATTCCCAGTGGGCTTTCATGGCAAGACACACTGATGAGTTCATCATATTACTTGATAGACACACATCAAATTTGTTCGCTGCTTCTTACACGCACAGAGCATATCTCTCCTGGAGAGCTGGCTTTAGCTGTTTCTGTGGTTTCATAGCCACTGAGTGAGAGAGGGATATGCAGAGGGACCTTGGGCGACGTAGGACGAAAGTTGTGGCTGCAAGACCAGCCTCTCATGGCATCAGCGCTCACCTGGAATATAAACTTGACAGGACTCTAGACATGCACAAAATAGACACACGTGGCAGACAGACAAGGACTCGGCAGGACCACCGTCTGTGCTTCCTTTCTGGAACAAACAAACACACAAACGGCCTTTGGTTTGATTTGTTGGGTGAACTTCAGCAAAACAAGAGAAGAATTCAGGAAGGAGGAAAACAGGATTTAAGAGCCAGCAAAACTGTTCAAGGACAGCAGGTAAAGAGATTGCAATGTAACAGCTGAGTCACATAACAAGGAGCATTAAAATCCCTGCTGAGCTGAAGGTATATATGTCTTCCAACGAGTAGAAACTTCAAAGAGAGAGAGAGAGAGAGAGAGAGAGAGAGAGAGAGAGAGAGAGAGATGCACTGCTCATAAAAGCCACGATCTGGAAATAAAACGAGCTATAATTTTGAAATGAATTTGAGAACTGACGAAGCAAAAGGAGCAGTTTTCCTATAGCACCAAGGCCAAGCCTCCTTTAGTCAGGTAATGTGGGGTAGGGTTGGGACTGCCGGATACTCTGAATTTGGGTACAATCATTTTTTTCGGGTACTATCATTTTGGATTTTAATAATTGCTAACCACAATTGTTTCCCCATGATGCACATTGCTGTTTCTTTTCCCATTGACTGCTGTTTGTAGGATAGTTTTGTAGGCGATTTTTAGGCGATGTATTCAAATTATTTACTAATTGCTATGAAATGAGCACTAACCAATTTTAACAAATATTTACTGAGTGCCTACCATGTACCCGGTACTATTCTAGGTGCTTGGAACGCAACAGTGAACAAAATAACTCCTGCCCTAGTAGAGCTTATGTTTTAGTGATGCAGACACACCATAAACAATAAATCTGATCAATACAGGAAAACAAAAAAGATAAGAGGGAAGGAAAGGAGAATTGGGAGGGGAAAGAGGAAAGTAGTAGGGTGGGTTGAAATTTGAATCAGATGGGCAGAGGAGATCTCACTGAGATGAGAATCCAGCGAAGACTTGAGAGAAACGAGGGCATCAGGCAAGGAGGTATCTGAGGGCAGAGCGTGGGGGCAGAGCGCCAAGCCCTAAGGCTGGAATGCGCCTGGCCTGCTCCCCAGACCTCAAGGAGCCGGAGTGGCTGGAGTGGGGGCTGGACTAGGAGAGGAGCTTAGAGTGATAAGCGTTCTGGTGGACCTGTCAGGAGTGCAGCTCTTATTCTGAGTGATATCCCATCCACTGAAGCATTTTGAGTGCAGAGGGCCAGGGTCTGACTCTCACGTTAAAATAATCAGCGTGGCTGTTCTGTGGAGAGAAGACTGGAGGAGGCCAGGGCGGAAGTGGGGGTCTCTAGGAGGCTAATCCAGTGATTGAACAGGTGGCTCAGATCCAGGTGGTGGGTTCTGGATGGACTTGAAGATAGAGCCACGGGGGCACTTCCTGACCGATTGATGTGGGAGTGAGTGTGAGGAGAGTGAAGGACGACCCTGGGCTTGAAGGACAGTGCCAGTCAGGAAGGGCCTGGGGCTCTGGAGCAGGGCCCTGGGAGCCCCTTGTTGGTTTCATTGCTGTGGTGGTGTTGGGTGGGGGTTCTTGGGGGTGGTGCCAGGATAGCAGGGACACTTGGGAAGCTCTACACAGCCAGTGTGTCTAAACGGTGCTTACTGGCTGGTAGCAGCCCTGGATTTTGTGCTTATCGTTCAGCTTTTCCCTATTCCTTTCTCTAGTAGAATGAACTTAAAAGTAGGCTTGGATCTTGAACTTTTTTTTTAAATGAAAAAATAGGTTTTGATTACCCAGTTACATATCAGAGAGGTCTTCTGATTTTTATGGGCTTGACTAAGTTTAACTATCTAGAAACAAATGTTTCTCAAGTTAATTAAGGCAACACAACAACAAAGTATAGTAAACAAAAAAGAAAAAAATTAGGGAAAGCCTGACACTTTTGGGTCCCGCAGTTTTTATTCTGCCATTTTGATTGTAAGGATGTTTTAACTCAGATGTTTTCTCGTAAATACATACTTTTAAATCAGAACTGTGCCATTTTGATGACTTTCATTACAACTGTATAACTTGGGTATTAAAAAAATCATAGTGGCCCAATGGACTTTTAATGTTTTTTACTTTTTTTTACCCTTTAGATTAATCTTCAATGTTTCTGATGAAATATTTGTCTGAGGTTCAGCAACTTTTAAATTGCATGTTGATTTCATTTCTTTTTTGTTACATTCAATACTTCTTCAAAATATTAGCAGGAGTTATTTCTGTGTGATGAAATTGGATTTTTATTTTTAAAATAAAAATAAATTGTTTCAATTTTCATCTTTATACTTTTCAGTCGTTCCCAACCACTTCTTAGGGAAATGGTGTTCTTCATAATTCCTTTGTGTGATACTTTTTAAACAAAAAAAGCAAAAATTATTATTTAAAATATTTTAAATAAAATATCCTGTGAAAACAAATATCAGCTTCCCAAATGTCAACTCAGCAAAACAATAAAACAACAGAAACCAAAGTTCTCTGAAACTCCTGAGTTACGATTTTACTCCAGAAGGAGTCATTGTCTTAAAAGGATGTCTGACTGTCAGGAGACATCCTATGCCTCCAACAAAGCATAGGAGAAGAATGCTGGCTCTGGTGTGGTGTGTGTGTGTGTGTGTGTGTGTGTGTGTGTGTGTGTTGGGGGGTTGTGTTTCCTGCTGTTCATCAAGGAAGACAGGCTAATCAACTAGAGCAAGAGACCAACCCAATAGACATCATTGTCAACAAAGGGATGGCATAATGGTGGTTGGCAAGGCATGTAAGGAATAAAAAAAAAAGGAAATTCAATTGGGAAAATCATTGTAAATTCAGGACCTTTTTAAAAAAAATAATTTTTTATTGTTACAGTATTTCAGACGTTGCTCATTTTAGCCCCCTTTACCCCTCTCTGCCAACCCCCTTCGCCCACCCTCCCCCAGGTCTTCACCTCACTATTGTCTGTGTCCATGGGCTATGCATGTAAACTCAGGACCTTTAACAGAAATATATTTTTCTGGTTCTGACCCTGACTGTAGCCCATCAACAGCAGCACTTCTGCCAACCCCTGACTCTCACTAAAAGGAATTATTGATGTATGAAGTCAAGTTTAAATAGGAAAGGGGAGCTTGGGTTGAAAAGTATGAGCAGGGCCATATTCTGGTCCACAATCAAGTGGCTTACAATGCAAAGTCTGAACCTTGACTGGTCAGAGATGTTAATTTTTCTCTAGTTTCTGAGTATTATGGTGGTTCTACGAAAATATAGGAATAAAAGTTTCTGTGAACCTAGGAGAGTGTCAGCCCTAGAAAGGGAATCCAGGAGAGTAAGAAAAATATATTGAGATGAAAACTGACACCAGCCAGTGTGGCTCAGTTGGTTGGGCATCATCTCATCCACCAAAAGGTTGCTGGTTCGGTTCCTGGTCAGGGCACATGCTTGGTTTTGGGCTCAATCCCTGGTACAGCCACTGATTGATGTTTCTTTCTCTCTTTTCCTCTCTAAAAGCCAAGAAAAAAAGAAAACTGACTGACACCCATGGTATTAATACTTATGTAACTACTAAGTGTAACGGTGTAATAATGAATCCTGTTATCACTGGGGTGTTTTGTGTTTTCTCTACTTTTATGATGTTTGAAGTATCATCAAGGTGATAGAGAGCTAGGGTGTTACAGGGGCAGAGGGAATGTGGTCATTGTTGGTTAAGCCACCAATGGGTCCGTGACTGCCAGGAGAAAGCTAAAGTCCTATACTGAAAGGGTTGCGGGTTTGGTTCACACTATCTCCCTTACCCTCAAAACCTTTCAGAGTCAATCTCTATCTTGAAAAACAGCAACAAGTCTTAGTCATGACTTCCTAGTAATTGGCTGTTCATTTTGTTCCTGTGTACTAGGGAGAACCTTCTGGGAAGAGGCCAATGTTTCTATAAAAGTTTGCCCTGTTCTTTGGGTTTTCAACCTCTTTGTAATTTTGAATTGGGAGTGCCTAAGAATGTCTTTTGATTGAGTCATTTGTGGAACTATACACTATTTGACTCTATAATTTGTTAGCTGGTTTTCCAACTTGGCAACAAATAATTGTGTATTTTTTTCATTTATTAGTCAACAAGGTCTTACTGAAACCTTTTCCATTAGGCCCTGAAGTTGTGTACAATGGTGATCAAAACAGGCATGGAGCTGCCCTCACGGGCCTTAGAGTCTGGTGGGGAAGACAGACATGACTCAAATAACCAAAAACTGACATTTGCTAGAGAGGAAGAGTGAAAGGGGCTATGCATGGGTTTGGCAAGAGCTCTTGACCTAGGCTGCGGATGGGTGAGTGCCATACAACGGACACCAGGTTTTGAGAGTGTTATTAAAAGTCTCATTTCCGCCATGCTTCTGTTTCCCAGTCCGTCATTTGAAAATCGGACAGGTGAGCCATGTCTCACAGTGAGCAAAGAGATCTCCTTGAAAAAGTGATATTGAAAGAGGAGGAATTTACTATGAGAAGTGGGGAAAAGTGTTCTGTGCAAAAGCCCAAAGGAGCCTGGAGTGTGACACACTGGGCTGTAGTACATGGACCGAGGTGAAGGCAGCAAGGTAGACGAGGCCCAGATCAAGCTGGCTCCTGGAGGCCATATAATCTATATACTGGGGGGTTGGGGGGGGGTGTAAGAGCTTTATTGAGATATAATTCACATACCATAAAATTCATCCATGTAAACTATACAATTCATTTATTTTTGGTATAGC